AGGTAATAAAAAAATAAATCACATAAAATTTAAAGATTTAAACATTCTACCTGTTATCTGTAAGGTGTATTTGTTTCTCTGCGAAATAACTCCCTGCGATGTATTCTTGATGGCATCAACGATAATATTTTAAAAAATTCATAAATTACACAATTATATACGACGAAATATTACAAAAATATTGTATCTACATTTACATTTAATGAAAACTATATTAGCCAAAATGAAAGTGACGCATTTTTTCACGCAATTGACGTCGACATTTTGACATTTTCTACGTTTAACTGTGTTCGCGTTTACCATAGTTTGAAACTCTGGGATTTCTCCGTAGACGAATAGTTCTCCTTCTCTTTTATTTTCATCGGTACAGTATTTTATGCAGCTTTCGGGATCATTTGCGAATTGGATGTTTGCATTATTGAAAAGTTTTTGTGTGGCGTTTAATTGTCGTGGGTTTTTAAATCCGAATGTTAATTGTATGTGGAGCATTCCTAGCCTACCTGTTCCTTGTTGGCCGATGTACCATGCCACTTGGCCTTGCATTGCTTCTAATTTTTCTTTCATATCTTCACCGTTTTTAAAACAGGTGAACACGCGTTTTTTGGTCGTCATTTTAGTAGTAGTGGCGGGTATCGTATCTTACACAATGCACTGTGGGTTGAACGCACTTTGGGCACACGTCTAGTAGTTGTTTTTTTCCAATCCAGTATGGTGTTAGTTGATGTTTGAATTTACGCGCGTAATTGCACTTTGAGCACACGATTTTTTTGGTGTATACAAAATAATTTCTCGTCGGTGTCGCGTTCATTATTAAACTGAAATATTATTGTTTTATTAATAGCATTATCAACGGATATTCTTATCTCTTTCCTGTTTCCTGACCCCCGCACCATCGGCACGTACGCCTCCCTGCCGACGACGTCATAAATTTAAAATTGTCATTATTAATATTAGAATTAAGATTATGTAATATTATTGTTGATTGGATAAATGAAGTAATTATATACAAAGGCATTACAATTTTTGTTGATTTCATCATGATGTTTTTGGTATTGTTATTGGAAAATATGTTGGAAAATATATTTGAAAGTAATTTGTAATCTTTTACATTCTTTTCTTAAAAAAGGAATCTGTAATTTCGAAATTGCTTGATAGATGGTGTAAATTTACGCTTTGTATATATTTGTTTTTCAGCTTGAAAATATAGGATAATATGTAAAATAATTATTGAATTTAATTTGATATATTTTCTATTAAAATTTCTTTATCCAAATATATATATATATATATATATATATATATATATATATATATATATATATATATATATATATATATATATATATATATATATATATATATATATATATATAAGTATCAATTATTTGTCTCAAATTCTCAAATTCTATAATCATCACAAATGAAATAAAAATAAATTAGAGGTTATAAAAAATAAAATCGCATAAAATTTAAAGATTCTATATTAAATACCTGTTATCTGTAAAGTGTATTTATGCCATCAACGATAATATTTTAAAAATTTCATAAATTACACGATTATATACGACCAAATATTAGAAAAATATTGTATCTTCATTTACATTTAATGAAAACTATTTTAGTCAAAATGAAAATATTTGTTTCTTTATGAAATAAATTCCAGTAATACGTTCTTTATGCGATCATCAACGATATTTTTAAAATCTTGAAATTTATAGACATGTATGTTTTCTTACCATCATTTTGACTGTAGTGATTTAAAGTAAAAATAACCAAATTTCATTACATTAGATAACAATTTTTAATTAATATAACTTTATGAGACACATTTATTTATCTTTGATTCAAACCATCTCAGTTGAAATGTAACGATTTTTCATGATGGTAGTTCCTTGTTTGTATTAATTTTGGAGTTTCATATTTACTGAAAATAAAAAAACAATAAATTAAAAGACCTGAAAAACAAAAGTATATTCAAAGTTATTATTTTATGAAATTCATTTTAAAATGTATCTTTAATAACTAATCAATGGTAATCCTTATATATTCATTGATAAATTAAAACAATGTTCAATTTTCTTTCTTTCATTATTATAAATTACTAACAATTAAATTTCAGTTAAATAATAATCTTAATATGGCAATCAATAATTAATATTTTCATCAATTTTCCAGTAAATGAAATTTAAAATTGTAAAACTCTACTAAACATAAAAATTCAATCTAAAAATGATAAATATTTTTAAACATGAATTCTTTCAATGAAACAGTAATTTTCAGTTTACAAAATTTATAAATTATCTTTACCCATATCCGATTGCATAAAAAGGGAGAAAGCCTCGTATTTTCTGCTTACCGAGTGCTTTGCTTTAACATGAGCAAGATTGGGAGTCTTTAGAATGACCCTGATCGATCGGGATTCAGTGCATGGTATTACTAGACTAAAGAAGTTGCTAACCTTCTATAGAAAGGGTGGCATTTTGGACGTTCTCTAGAGCGGTCTGGTGGGCTAAATGCTTGGACGCCCACGAGCGCGCCTCCCTTCAATATCAATACCAATATCCATAACCGATAAAAATCATTTTAAACGAATTATAGTGATTCTTGACAATGAAACTTTTAAAAGTTGTGTAATATCAATATATACTTTATAATTTATCTTGTTCATATTCTATATAATTCCATTTTAGGGTAAATTGTGGAATCTTTCTATAACTGAAAAACAAATAGAGGTTAGAAACAGTAATATAAACAATAAGTTTAAACATTACATACCTTTCATTTATTATAGAATATATTAGTTTCTATTTAAAAAACAATCTTCGAGATATATTCTTTATACAATAGAAGATATCTTTGCTGAATTTTAACATGTTTCCAAAATTTTCTATGGTTAGTGTTTGCAAATTGACGTTTTACCATAGATGTATCTCTTATAGATTCTTTATGTATTCTAAGGTTATAAGAATGCATTGAATAATCTCTCAACTATTAATGACATCACAAATCCTCAACATGCCTCAAGAGTAATAGAAACACACATATTCATTGCGACCTAATAATAAAAAATATTTGTAAAAATTAGGCTTATGTTAGTCTTTTTTTTATTCTAATGTAAAATGTATATGTAACTTTTTTTTCACTTCCGATTCAACAGGTTTTGTTCTAGTTGTTGTTGTTGTTGTTTGGAGGAGTGTGTGTGTGTGTCTAAATAAAAAAAACTCTAAAGATTTTTTATTATTTACATCAACATCGATAATATTTTTAAAATTAAAAAAACTATGGGATTGATGCGGGCAGAGAGGACGCTAAACTTGCAAAATGTTTAAGTTTTTTTCTGCATTCGTCGGAGTGAAGGCGCGCCACTTGTAACTCGCTCTGCAGCAGGGCAATTTTAGTTTCAGTTTCTTTGATCCGGTCCTCGTTTCGCACCAGCTGCGACTCTAAAACCATTTTCAACTGGAACGCTTCGCATACCACCCTTCTTTATTCGTCGTCGATAAACGTATCGAACCAACCGGAGGAGGAGGAGGATGAGCCGGTATGCTGCTGCTGCTGCTGCTGAACCGTTTCTTCCCTTTTTCTTTTTTTTGTGAGGCTTTGGGGGTGTCGTCGCACTACGACGCCGTTTTGACGGTTTTCTTACTTGTTGTTGTTGCACTTCCGGTGGTGGTGGTGGCGGCGGCGTTGATGACGGTGGTGGTGGCGGCGGCGGCGTATAATGTATGTCGTAGCTCGTTAAAAATTCGTACAACTCTTCGGGGGGGAGCGATATTTGCTGCTGCTCCATGATGCGCGCCCCGACACAACTGTTACATCGACACTGAGACTTATAATACATTCGCGTCGTCAATCCACGAATCGTGCGACTTGTCCAATCCCAACCAGCGTACCAAAACCCTTTTACCGCGCCTGCGCAGAACCTTTTCAACGAGATAGACGTCAGGATTGGCCGTTTTTTGCAATTCTTCTTCGTAAAATCCTCCCATTATAGGTTTACCACGTGTTTGGCTTTACTAATTCTAACCCACGTCACCCACTTTCAATTTCCTAGCTCAGAATATTTTCAGGTGACTGAAAGCGCTCTTCAAAAGTGAATCGGCGTTAATTTTATTCACCGCATTAGGTTTCATTCCCGTCGTTCTGTGTTTCTTGTTGTTGTATTGTTGAACGACAGAGGGCAGCACGTCTGTCCAGCGGTACGCAATGCAATTTTTCTTTGAGTCCCCTTATTACTCGTTCGACTATCGCAGCCTTTTTTTTTACTGTACGTACTATAATGATTAATTTCGTGCTTGACCATGAGCTTCTCAAAATGGCCATTATAAAATTCCTTGCCCAGATCCATTTGCAGGTTTTTTGGTTGTCGATCCCGTGCCTCTTTTAGAATTTTGGCGAAGGCCTTGGTCACATCACTCCCCGTTTTTCTTTTTAACGGTTTGCACCACACGTATTTTGAAAAAAAAAAATCGATAGCTGGGCCAAATCGGCCTGCCACCACGCATATGGATGCAATTTTTGCCGGAATTCGAAATCGCCATTTTTGTCCAACAAGACGTAGTTATTTTGTTCTGAAATATTGTCACGTGATTCCTAGGACAGCCTTATCACGAGATTGAAAGGACCGATAACGATTCGGAAGAGCGTGCGCATTGGAAGGAGCCGCTATTGAAGTTTCGTGATGCGGTGGCGTGTTAATATAATTTTTTTTTCAGTTTAATGTACCGATGGTACGTGATAGCTGTGAGGGGTAATAAAAATCAAGAATGTAATCAAGTATTGCTTCAATTAAAATCTAGAAATCTTTGTAAAATAGAAATACAAAAATGCGAAATTTCGTTGTAACGGTTTCGTCCGTTTGGCGCGTTTTCCATCCCCTCCCTTCGTGTAAATTTGGCACCCATTTGGCCCACAATAAAAAGAGCTGAGTCAGAAACGTCTCATTTTTACGCGTCGTTTCGAAGGTGTTAAATAAATTTTGTAAAAGTAATCTAACAGAAATGCCTTCTGCTAACGATAAGTCTCTCGTGATCAAATACACCAAAGCGATTCCAGAAGCGTATTCTCCAAGCAAAGGATCAATAAAGGCGGCAGGATATGACTTAAAAAGTGCTCTGGATTGTGTGGTACCGGCACGAGACAAAGCTCTGGTCGACACGGGCCTTAAAATCGAATTACCGGAAGGCTGTTATGGAAGAATCGCACCCAGATCTGGATTAGCTGTGAAGAATTTTATTGACGTTGGAGGTATATACTTAGAATTTGTTTCTGAAGACGCGACGAGTAAGACGTTTTAAAGGTAGTTTTATTTAACCACTCCGACTCAGATTTCGATATTAAAAGTGGGGATAGAATTGCCCAACTCATATGCGAAAAAATTTACTATCCTGATTTGGAGGAGGTACAGGTGAGTAAATGATTTTTCCCAAGTTTGGCATTAGTTGCTTTTCATTATTTTAGGCATTAGGGGACACTGTCAGAGGTGAAGGTGGATTTGGATCTACTTGAACTAAATAATGTGACTTTTTTTTTTTGGTAAATGCTTCCTAAATTTGGGTGTTTTTGTACTAGAAAAACAGTTTTTGATAGTATTATTCTCCTTCACTGTTTTTCACTTGATAGTATTAATTATGTGTTCAAATATTTAATTTATGTTTAACCAAATATATAATTTAGTAACAGCGAAGTATTTTTTTTTAAATTAGACTTTAAGCTATATAGGTTGTAAAGGGGGTACATACAGCAGCAAAAAATTACTTTAATAACACACTTATTGAGTAAAACAGCTCAACAAAATTATTAACCCCGGAGGCCAACGCATCTGCCTCCCGGACAAAACGTGTATGTGAACGTGATAAACAGACTGAGCGCCCACAGGCCCATCATTAATAACAATTCGAAACCCTTGATCCAACTTCCTCGTTGCAGCTATTTTTCTTGCTACAATTAGCAAATGACCTAATAGCAGTTCGTATTCGTCGGCGGCTTTGGATAACTGAGGTATTGGTTTCCGAGGAATAACCAAATAGTGTTAAGGATTTACATCGTCGAAAGCCACACATTGAAAACAAGTCAGTTGGACGAGGTTTGAACATTTTAGGGTATACCCGCCAGGTCGTCTTCGTATATAAAGTTGCAAGGGATTTCTTTTCTCAATATTTTTCCGAAAATTGTGCCCTCACCCGGTCGAGCATTTTGTGCCAGAGCAACCTCGTCCGACATCTTTATGAACTAACGTTTTGTCACATGTGCCTCTGGGCCATAGGCGCAAAAGGAGCGCTGTCACCCAGCCGACGAGTTTTTGCGAGTTGAAACTCGTCGGCTGGGTGACATCACCGTCCGCCGCGTGGTCGCGTCGCCGGTGTGCGGCAGCGGCTGCATGACATCATCGCTTTGCGAAATGTTTAAACGAAACCTTGGCGGCTGAGATCATCGCGTCGCCTGCCTTCGCCGCAAAAAATGCTTAAAACAAATTAATTAGCCCCTCGGTCCGATTAGTAATCCACACATCCTTCGGCACAGGAAATACGAAACGTTGATATTATTACCGCATGCGTTTCCTTCGCCGCCGGATTTTTTTTTTTTAATAATTTTCCACACATAACGTGACCGGATGAGTACCCCGCGCGCGTGTGTTTCCGTCAGAAACTGATTAGAAATTAAAAAAAACAATAAGTAGAATATGTATATTTTATTGACCGAGACGTATATAGTGGAAAGACTCTAAAGCATTGAAGCATTGAATTGAAGTTCATTTTATGAGACACGAGTTCTTCTATTTCCTCGCGCTCAAGGTATATTTCGATTAACGGATTGAATTTTTTCAGCGTTAAGTCACACCGTTCTTCTTCGTGCCAATAAGTCGCTTGCATGCAATCTCCTAGGGGGAAGATGACGTCGTTCCATTTTAGATTTCCAATTTCCTCGTCAATAAAATATAAAAACTCCAAAAATGCCTCGTGGGTAAAGTCTAGTCGCTGCTGTCCATTAACATACAGGCGTACTTGTGCGCAATCCATCTCGACATATATATGTTCATCGATCGTTACTGTAGTATCCGGAATACGCGTAGGCGTAATTCTTCTGTGATTATTAAATGTTGCATCCCAATCACCACCCATCGTTGTTGTTGTTGTTGTTCAGTCAACTAACACACACACAAAACTTACATTGTTTTTTATAACTCATACACAGTATTTATACATTTCATCCCCTCCTATCGTCGAAATTGGACGGCACATTGAGTTTTAGTTATCTTGACCAAACACTTTGATAGCAAAAATAGCGAACTGTTTTACATATTTAACATATAACATATTTAACAATTCGTAGGGTCTCACCCGTTCTATGAGGTATTGTGCCGGGAGCGCTTTCAGGTCTTCGCTGTTCAAGTTCGTCGGATGGCTCAACAGTATTTTATCCATCGTGGTCACCCCCTAGTCGTCAGTTTCATTAACAAATTTTTAATCTGTTGAAACACGCTCTCGCGTGGTCGCGTTGATCAATTTATTTAAAAATTCGTTGTACTCGTAATAGGTTTTGTTTTTGAAAAAATATAAATGTCCGTTGGTGTAGCGAAACACGCTGTTCACGCCTTGCGGAATCGGGCCAAACAATTCGTTTACAAAGCCGTGACCTTTCGGACGCAAACTGCACTCGTCCAATTCGTTGAAATAATTATCATCGTAAAGGATGAAAGTTCTGCCGGAGTATGTGCTGAAAATTGCGTTAATTTTTTTATCTTGCGGAACGCCCAGGTTCTCAATGTCCGCTTTACGTTCTATCCTAAAACTAGGAAAATCCACCACATAAAATAAATTGTCCGCAATGGCCACGAGTTGTCCGTTGGGTCTTTGATAGATGTGGGAAATTTTGTCCATGGGAACGTACTCGGCTATCCGTTTTGGTTCGGTGTAGGTTCTATCACCTAGGCGTAGTATCCAGCACCATTTATCGTAGAACACGTACATATGATGGTTCAAAGTGATTAGAAAATTATCCGGAAGTATATTACACAAGTCTGGTGGTGGTGACAAAGTAACTTTTGTTGTTGTTTTTGTGTCGCTTTTCGATGTAGTTGTCGTCGATGGCGACACTGATATGGTCGTTTTGTCTCCATACAAACGTTGAATTCCCGCAATGTCATCGAGTCCCAATGTATTTACGCTCCCATAAAATGGATACATAATGGACGTGGGATCATTACTATGCCCTAAGCCGAGGGTATGCCCGATTTCGTGTAATAGCACGGTATACAAACTAGTTTGTGGTGCGGGCGCAGGCACATCGTTCCCAAAATACCAGTTTTCGTCTTTATCCAAATGGATTTCCACACACTTTTGATTTGTATTGGGAAAAAATGCGTGACCCAAAACTTGACCTTTTCAGTCAAATTTATAACTACATGATCCGTTGCCTTGACATCTTACGCTTTGTTTATGTTCGTACGATTTATCGGTGATTAGAATCAGAATATCGGGCTTCATGTAATTGTAAGCGAATTCTAAATTGGAAACGGAACTCCAAATTTTGAAAACTTGGTTGGCAATCGTCCGTGATCGAATCCTTTGCCAGGGTGCCGACGCTTGAACATACCAATTTAAGGTCGTTTAATTCCATACCGCATTGGCGGTTGTGAAAGCATTTTCTTCTATTCCGCAGCGGGGGCTTTTAATTAGCGCTATGGTCTCATTGTTTAGAGTACCGTCCATTGGTAGATTGTACAATTCCTGAAAATCCATTAACGCTTGCTTTAAACTGACCGGATCGATCTGAATGAGAGACACGTCGTCGTCGTCGTCGCCCCCGCTATTCACCGGCAGAAAGCCATATTTTTGTAAATAATCAGAGAGTTCCTGGTCGGTTAGCGTCGTGTCGTCTTCAGTTGTCGAGCACATAGCAAGGATAGCGTAGAGAAGAAGAAGTGAACAAAAACCCACAACCCTCATCTCTCTCTCAATCAAAAGTAACTGCAGTACTAAATATTCACCGATCATAACTGGCGTTTTTATAGAGGGACGTGAGAGATGATTTTTTTTTAATTCATATTTACGTGTATGTTTTTTTTAATAATACATGTTGCGCAGATCAAAATAAAACGGCAAAGTTTTTTTTGAAAAAAAAATATTTTAATTTTTTTTATACAATAATGGGTATACTGGCGTATACCCATGAATATAATTCGAAAATATTATTTAGGACGCACATCCGTCGCCGTCCACCCTTGTGAAACATGCAGTTAGGCCTCGCCTTCTTCTCAAACTTTGGAGGGGGAGGTACAGTTGCGGCGGGCTGGGGGTTGGTGCTGGTGGCGACGTGGCTGTCTCGTCGTCCGCCGTCATCAAACTGTTCCACGTTAATAATGGTGGGCTTCCACGCCGACGACTCCAGCCTCTTGGCCAGAAAGTCCGCCTTTACCTGTCCCCTCACGTAAATGATGTCGGCCTGTGCGCTAATATGATTTATCACGTCGTCCACCCTCGCATAGTCGACAAATCCCCCGGTGTATATCAATCCATGGAGGCGATCCTCCAACCTCTGTACCCCCCGCTTGTCGGCGGAGGACAGCCGCCCATATTCCTTTGGAGGCTTGAAAATCAAATGGCAGCTTTGACTGCCATTACATGCCGCCAACTCCTTGACGACGAAGCCCTCGCCGCCGTCTTGCAGCTGGAATCCCAGCATGTCGACCACCACGAACCGCATTTTTACCACAAAATGATTTGACTGCACAAACTTTGTACCACGAACTGCGCCGCTCGATCAAATTTGCCTCGTATTTATTACGACAACGTTCGGACAATCACCACAACGTATTTCTTCTATAACGGAGGCAGTGTATGTCCTAAATCCTTGTTTTTTTGTCCGCTGGTGGTGATGACGATGACGGTGATGGCATAACTTCGTCGCAATAGAAACTTATATTGTTCGAACGACTTGTTAATTCCGAACAATATTTTATATTATATTTTGGATGATTTTTAATGGATTCTTCACAAAAGCAAAAAGATTTGTTACAGCTATTACATTACTTGGTACCGTGATAGTAGACTTTTGAGTTTTCCGAAACATCTTGTTTCACTTTTTTTTCGGTTGGCACCCCACGCTTGTCGGCGGAGGACAGCCGCCCATATTCCTTTGGCGGCTTGAAAATGAAATTGCAGCTTTGACTGCCATTACATGCCGCCAACTCCTTGACGACGAAGCCCTCGTCGCCGTCTTGCAGCTGGAATCCCTGCATGTTTACCACAAAATGTTTTGACTGCACAAACTTTGTACCACGAACTGCGCCTCTCGATCAAATTTGCCTCGTATTTATTACGACAACGTTCGGACAATTTCGCTAAGCGGCCTGTGTTCCACGATGCAATCGTGAATGATGACGCAATAGGCGCGCGTATTTGCAGGAAATCCGTTTTTAGCCTCGATATCTAACTTAACGTCGACCGTGCTGGATTTCAGACTGTCGTTTCTTCTAGAACAATCGAAATTTTAATTTTCCTAATATT